ATGGAATACAGCGAAAATGGAATGCAGTGAAGGAATGCAGTGATCAAGGAATGCAGTGAAGGAATACAGTGATGATGGAATACAGCGAAAATGGAATGCAGTGAAGGAATGCAGTGTAAGGAATACAGTGATGGAATACAGTGCTAGCATGCAGTGTTTTGTACATGTGTGAATCACGAGTGCTTTGTGTGGCAGCGTCGAAGTACCGGCGATCCTGCGTGGAGCATATCGAACAAGGAGCCGCCGTTCTAACCTGGATATTTTGGATATTCTGCTCTAAATACAGCCAGGAATGCCAGGATACGTGTGCAAGCCTAGGATTATTGCCAGGTAATTTATGCATGAACCGATAATCAGGGATTAATATCTGCGACTTCGCCGAGCTGTCTAAATTTTTAACACGAGAAAGAATCGCGTACGTTGAACGCTGTGTTCCGGTTAATTCGCGATCCGGTGGCGAATTTCGACATTTTCAGGTCTTACGGCGTCGATTCGATAGAAAATTCGACGTCGGATACAGTTTTTTGAGAGATAAGATGACAGATTTGTCAAGTGCGATCCGCGCGATCATAGCGACGCGTTAGCTATGTTACTGTTCAACGCAATATGGCAGATATGCGACAGTTTTATTAGGTGACTTTCACGCGAACGTACTACCCACGCCATTCACACAGGCCACACAGCGGATCTTCCGCGAAACGAAAACGCGATACCGATATTATCGACTCTTGAATTAGATGCATATGATAAATAGCGTTCCTATATATGATAATAGTATAGTTATCTGAGATCGTCGGTAACCCATACTGCAATATTTCACCTCGATCATTTGATAAACACATGCAAGGATGAAATGATATATGCTGTAAGCAAACACAACCGTCGATTTCAAATTTACATTTTATGATTAATCCAAATTGTTCATATAATAGAAATAAGAAAAATATATAGGTATAATATATAATTAAAAATATTTAAAATTATAATTATAATTAAACCAAAGCCGATAAAGAAATTAATCATCACATACACATGAAATTCCTAAGTTCCACGTATTTAAAAATGTATGATGTACAATGTAAAGAAAAAAAAATTAAGAAAAACATATATTCGAAAGTTCAGTCATGAAGAAATCTATTGAATACGATATATATACAGGAAGGTTAAAGAAGGAGAAATATTGATTTTTAAATTTACATCAATCTCTAATCCAAATTATATAGTACAGAAACTAATATATATACATTATATATATACATATATATATATATATGTATATATAACACATATATATATATATATATATATATATGTATAATATTAGAAATTAATCGAATCGTTTCATATGCATACATATAAACTCGAAGCCATATATTAATTAAAATATACACAGAATTCCATTCGCATCGAAAATATACAGCGGTATAATTATTAAATACAAATACGTACACATAATAAATACAAATGATTAATTGCCTTTGATTCCATGAATATATTGATTAATGTATAATTATACGATAACACGATGTTCTAACATAAAAGCAGAAGCTTCTGATGAAGGCGCGTCTTCCTCCATTCTAGTTTCTTTGGTCGGCGACTCGGGAGAATTCAATTTAGTGTGTTCTGGTGTCAGTCGAATAGTAGTGCCATGCCGACTGTAGTCCTCGATCTGGCCTATCGGCAGATCAACGTCTGGCGAATTTTCGTTACATTTTCCCTGTTTAAAAGAAAATTAATCACATTGTACTCTCATCTAATTGCGAATATTTATAATCTTGCAATTATAAATTATAACAATCTACTAACATATAATCTGTTTATATTTAAAAGCTTAATTAATATGCGCTCAATCTCGCACCTTTATGTTATCTTTTACTGCTGCGATTACTTAAAACGTAATTCAAATTTGATTGATTTACAATAAAATTTTCAAATGAAAATTGTCAGTCAATACATGCTTACTTGTAGATATCGCAACAACTCCCTTCGAAATTCCGTACTGCAAACGAGATATATAAGAATATAAATGGCATAATTGCTGAGTTCGACGATTGTCGAATACACTCGGAACGTTTGGTAACGAAAGTCTAATGGGTGATGATCGGTGTACAATATAGACGTAAGACTTGGCGGAACTGCCGTTAGAAAAAAGCATAGAATCATTGTTGTCGTCAATATCGCCAAGTGTTGCTCCTCTCTGCAAAGAATGATTTTTATAAGCGCTGCTGTCCAAAATAAAAAAATCACAATATTTGATCTTTTGCTTTAAAAAATTAAAATCAATTTTTTATTATACTTGTATCCTCGATTTCGAGATAATAATGATGTATCAGGCGTCTTGTTGGTCCGTAATTTGTCCGAAACAGCATGAAATTGTCGGCTTTGTGCATTCAGCTGCAAAAACCTTTTAATGACTAAACTATTCAGTACAATAAATACGATCGACGGGCAAATTCGCACTATGATCTCCATTATCCAAATATACGTTCTCCATATCGCACTTTGCGTAACGAATACGTTTTCACGCAATGTAAAAGAAGTGCCGGATCCTGCATCTTGCTCCGCATGAACGGTTCTCATAACCGATAGCGGACCACTAATCTATAAACAAAATAAAATATATACATATAAAATGCTTCCAATAATTATATACATATATTTCATTGTGGCATATATCTGTTGATACGTCTGTTTATAAAGATTCATTCGTTATAGTATTAGACCCGAATCAGCAAATTAATCGATTTGTGATGATTTATACAATTTTTTATTAAAAATCATTAGTGCATCAGCACGTATGGCAATGTTGTCATTCATCAATTTTTTTTCGATCAGTTCTATAAATACACAAATAATATTAACTAAGCAAATCTTCATAAAGTTGCAATATATAATTGTCGTTAATAATTGTTAGAACAATTCATTTAGTTATTTGTTAGAACAATATTCATAATCCGATTTCATATTCAAGATTATTTTAAGTGATCATAATTGATCTTAAGATTCCATCCAGCCAATAAAAATTAATCGTACAGCGTCTCAAGATCGTATTACGATCTAAACATAAGATTATGAAATATCGCGGTATTTTGGAAAATTTTAAATCGAATTAAATTATATTCGATAATTATTTTATAATATAAAAATATACATTATTAACAGATACCTGTGAGAAAGTGAAACATAAAAATATCCATGATAGCAAAGATCTGTTACAACGGAATGAGAATATAAAAGATTGTTCGATACTTCAGTTTTTAATTAAAGAATCTTAAATGTATTTTACGATAGGAAAAAAAATGCTGTTTTATGTAAAACTATTTACCATGAAACCGGCAATGAAAGAAGACAGTATGAAAGTGTTGACGTTCTTGCGTGTTTTTCCGGTGCGAATGCGTGCCGGGAAGAATACAAAAATATATCGATCTACAATTAAGCAGACCATAATAAAAACGCTGGCGGCCGAGAAGGCGTTTAGAAAAACGAGTTCAAGATGAGCATGGTAGAAAGCTGACGGATAATTATTGCTCATACCGTAACCCAATCTCAGCGCTGAAACAAATATTTAGTTGTTAGATATAACATATTACATTGTAATATTTTGTTACATGACGATTGTGCATTGAGAAAAAAAGACTGTTATTGCGCAAACGCTGCTGTAAATTAATCGGGCGGAAGAAGTACACGCGTTGGTAATTGATACAATTAATCAAGTTTAATTGGCTGCAAGACAAAACAACTCAATGAGCACTTAGTGATGCTGTAATATGATTGGTACTTGTCTTTAGTTCTTTGCCATTCTGAATCCAAATGTAACCAGTCGTTATAAAGAATCAGAGCTCTGAGAGCTCATTGAGCTATGTATTTTGTCTGCTGAACGTCACAGCATCGTCGCATAAAATGCAGTCAAGTGTTGTCGCGTTGTCTGTTAAATTAATTCAATTAATTTGTTTGGATATGGATGTAAACAACAGTCTTGCGATTTTCTTCAGCCAAGCGGTACTTTTTTCTGCAATGCACATTAATACGGGATATCGGATTGTACAAACTGATTGTTATCCAAGACAAAATAACGCCGATGTGTGCCAGCGCGAGTCCGCTGAAGTACAGATACGCGATACCGCGAAACACTGGGCCGGATAGCACAATAAGGATTGCCGCATTGCCGAAAACGCCGATGGTCAGTATGATCGGGACTACGATACCGTAAGAGATCCACATCAAAGACGTCGCTTGGCTTCGAATAACATCATCCTCGATAAGCATGCGTCCGACAGTGGAATTATCATTTTCGCAACACAACTGAGTACTGTAAAAAGCATTTTCATTGGGCTCTCGCACGTGTAAAAGTCATAGAAAAGAAGCAACACAATTTTATTGATGATGAAGATAAGCGATTGTGGTTATTAAGATAGGTTTATTTAATTCGACCAATGAATGGTCCATATGCTCAATTAATTCTCAATTAACATTTTATCAGAAGTAAAAAAGACGCGGAACAAAACTATTGTTAATGAAGAATATTATACTAGGTATATAAAACTGCGATATACGAACCCGTCGATCACTCCTGTCAGCATTGTACGCGTTCCGTTGATTGTTAATTATATGAATTACGATCGCCGTTGAAGAACTTGTAATGTCGATTAAGTGATTTAGAAGCTTTTTATTGTTTGATGTCTCGCGTCTTTTTCACACGCACGTCGCACGTCTGTTTCTCCCCTTTTCTCTCTAATAGCCAGCTGCAAATCTACTTTCAACAAAGGCATGATAGACTCTAACAGGTTCACCTGTGGCATATCCACTTCATAGATCTTGCTTCAGAAGAATATAACTGCGCAAGCCCCGGAAAGGTGTACAGGGTTTATTTAAACATGTATAGTAGATGATAGACTTAAACCTTTTATTAAGGTCAAACTGCTTGAACAAACAACAAGGTCTATTATTAATTGTTAATTCTTTACGGTCAAATACATCACCGTGAAGAAGAAAACACAGATTATGCAACAAAAAAAAGTAAGACTAAAAATGCAGTTAATCAGAATTATTGTGTTTTATAAAGTGTGCAACCAATATATAACGCTTCCCTTATTTAAAAAATGGTTATACTTCAATCATTCATTATTACTTCTTTTTTTATTAGAGAATATCGTGAGTTCACGCAGCTACCTCGATTGTCGTAAATGATAAGGTTGCCCTACGTTCAAATGATTCATGACAATTATGGAATGAAGGAAAAAGGGAAATTTTCAGTTTTTCTCTGTTTTTCGAAAAGATGACTTGGTGTCGTTTATTGAAGTTTTGGTGGAAACAGAAAATATAAATGTCAATTTCAAATTTATCCATTTCATTTAAGAAAGCTATTTTAATGTGAAACACAATTTTCCAGCTATACAGATGTAGCATCTTTGAATATTCTATATTTCCATTTCCTATGAATATTGTGCGTCTAGAATATGCCATGCTGAAAAATCTAACGAATTAAAAAAAAATTGCAGAATTTAATTGTGCCAAAGAGAATGATATGAATGTATTATGAAGCATATAGATAACGTGCGAATACTGTGAAAAACAATCAGATTCAGCCAGGTATTTCCATGCAGGATTTTGAGACGGCGTGATTAGATGTTATCACAACGCAAAAACTGAAAATAATAAATTTATTCGTATCGTTTATTTTCATGAAAGAAGAGAAGAAGATATATTGTATATATATATATATATATATATATATATATATATATATATACAAACAAAAAGGGATATTTCTATTGTTTAACGATTAATTAAAAAAGCTATAAATTGGAAAAACAACAGAGTATTGATCCGAAAAACAATTAGTTTTCCGAAGAGTCCTCGTTGAACTCGCAGAAGGTCAGCCGTCGAAAGCTCTGACGGAAGCAAGTATATGGACGTTAACGGCAAGATGAGGTACGATGAACGGTATAGAATCTCGATAGAGATTAATAATCGCGGTGTCAAATTATCGAGATCAGGGTCGAAAGGCGTCAAGCGAGTGGACGCGCGTATTCGTAACGAAAAACGATCGATGGCGTGTCGCCTACGCCAAAGGAGGATGGTCCCCACAATGTCGGCGGCTAATTCTTTCAAGCGGAAAACATTGTTAGAGACATTTCTCTCGCCCGATCGCGTTTCCGCTTCGTTGATCGATAAAGACCCACCGACGACGATGAACGGATCTGAGGTGCCGAGGAACATCGCCGTGGTAAGGAGCTCGCCATTATAGGAAAACGATGAACTCGCAATTCATTCGCGACGCGCGAAACAAAAGCAGAGAATTATCTGCGAATTTTTGCGCGAGAAAAACCATTTCGACGGAAAAACACGGTCCTTCTCGAACATCAATCACAAGCGAACAACTTCACCGGATAGTGTCGAATAGAAATGCCCTGTAATAGAATGTGCTGCTCTCTCATCTGGAGCACCTGTTTCATCTTGTCCTCACCTTGAATTACCTTGGAATTGCCTTGAAACCTTGGCATTGCCTTTTTATCTTAAACATCGGACGTGAATATATTATTATTGCATTTTTTATCATTTTTACATGCAGGATGATGGATGATCACTTTAATAGCTATAAATCGTTGACAACTCTTGCTAATTCTTAGATACTTTCGATTAGATTCTACTATTTTTTTGTCTACTCTCGTTTCGCCAATTAGGCTACGCTGAATGATTGTAGAAGAAATTAGAATTGATTGAATTTCTTATCCGAGATTTCTTATATGTTTTACATCTATAAAAATAAGAAAATAATTAGCTTAAATTATAACTATTATTGTGAAAGTAGTTTTAAATTTTCCCCTTTTTAATAGTTTTTATTAAACTTAATTAATTGATTTTGAAATTAAGATTGACTAAAACAGAAAAGATTTTATACATTATTATTAAATACTGCGGAAGAAACTGAATAAAATATAATAAATTTGAATGCTCGAGGTCGCAATTATTTAAATATCGAAATTGGAATATTTTCAAATTATTTCAGCTATTGTCATATATTTATGTTATATTTTAATGTCTAAAAAACAAATATTAATTAAACCAAAATTCTATAAGCAAATTTTACTTTTCAATTTTCAAATATCAAGAAGTGACAAAAAAAAAAGATACGTACTACTTGAATTGTGATCTTTTTTTAAAAAGATTAAAATTGACTGTGATGAGTTTAATGAGTAAATTTAATATCTATAAATTTTTTAAATTCAAATATGAAATACTTGTTCATACAACTTTTTTATAATTATAATAATATATTAAATCAAGAGATTGTTGTATAATTCACTTTTTTGTAAATTATACTTGTAGAATCAATTAATCAAAATCAACCTGAAATAAAATGCAAAATATGCATTTTTCCGAGTCACTGAATTTATTCGCAAGCACGGTAGACGAACAGGAGGGTGGACAATGAACACTCTCTCTTATAGGTTCAACCTCGCTAACTTTAAGGACAAAAAAAAATAACTGACCAAATTTGATAAATTGTATTAATTAAAAAAAATTTGTTACAATATAATAAATAAACATATAAATGTGCAAAATGTCATTATACTCTAAATTGATATAAAATATAATTAAACGTAATTTTTTCTCCTCCTTTCTCTGAGTCTCAATTTGTATATTAAATATCTATTTCAATTATATCTTTTAAATATACAATATATTTTAAATTATATTTTAAATATAATTTTTAAAATATCAGAATATATATATCGCGTTGCGAAATATTATCTCTTAAGAATTTTTATGTCTCCCTCTAACAGCGAGACGTGAAACTGTGATAAGGCCTTTTCAAGTCGCAGTTATTGACTTTTGTCAAGTTCACTGCACGTGATCGGACTTTTAGTTGGAGCAAGTTTCCTGTAGAGGCGCCACGACATTCAGATGCACTTGCAATATTTCCTGAAAGGGATCGGTTAGATGGCGATGAAGAAAAAAAACAAAAAAGTACACCGATCTCGCATATATATTTTTAAGGTGGTCTTATCGCTCAACGCCAACTCAATAGTGTGAGGTTGTCACATAAACGTCACACAATCGCATATGTACAGAAAAAAAGATATCTATATATTCTCCAGTAGTATCTGAATGAGAAATGATTGTCGATAATCCGTAAGTTGTCACTTTATAAGTTTAATCTGTGTGCACAGACTTGTCATTAATTTAATTAAATGATCAAACTAATTAAATTGTATTTGCACGTGTTATGACAGAGAAAAATTTATATACTTTCTGGTAGCTGTAGCTGTTGTGTTTTCAAATTGTAGAAATAGAAATAAAATTGAGGGAATGGTAGACTAAGGACATTCTTTCTTGATAATCGAAAAAACTCATGTGATGCGATAGTGTTTATATAAATAGAAAACGATTAAACATTTCAAACGATGGAACATTTCTATTGTAGGACCGATTACTCGAGGGAAAAAATTTGCACGGATTATGCAGAAGTTTGGCTGACAAAATGTGTTGTTATTTGCTCGAATATTACTTGTTCCGCCTTTATTTTCAAAGGTGTCGCCGTGCTATATCAAGAGTTAAACTGGGATACGTGCTCTGTGCCTTTGGCATGATAGCACTATTAGAATTTTTTGGAGCATTTGTGCACCTATTTGAGGCCACGTATGATGAAAACTTTGCGTATCCGTACGAAGGCAATGTACATGAATTCGTAAATGCTCTGCGACGTAACGAGAAACCTGAAGTTGAACCTATAAACGAGTACAGATATACTTTTATCTTAAAACAGCCACAAAAGTGCAAGGAAGATGCAGATGATACGCTTCGTCTTGTGTATATAGTAAAGTCGGCTATAGAAAATTTTGATAGAAGAACTGCTATACGAAATTCATGGGGAATCGAAAAAAGATTCTTTGATGTGCCAGCAAGAACTATTTTCGTGGTGGGTACACATCCGGACGACCAAGAAGTTGAGGCCAAACTTAAACTAGAGGCGGGGATTTACAAAGATATCGTACAAGCAGACTTTGTAGATTCGTACTATAATAATACTATAAAAACGATGATGAGTTTTAAATGGTTAGTGAAGTACTGTTCCAATTCAAAGTTTTACATGTTTGTCGATGATGACATGTATGTATCTGTAAAAAATGTAGCGACATTTATTAGAAATCCAGCTAATTATCCGTTTTACTTGATGGAATCCAGGAAAGTATACAGTGCACACAAAAGAGAAATCAAACAGTCGGATTTAGTGGATTATAATGACGTCAATTTTAACAATAAAAATGTAACATACAACTCAAAAATCAAAATGTCTTTGACGCAAAATTCAGTCATTTATGAATCTACAAATAATAATACTCAGAAAAATAATGTACACGAGAAACAAGTAGGACAATTTAATAAAAACCTTAAAGTAAAAAATGAACATTTGCTCAGGCTAAACACGTCTACGTCGAATAGAACGAAGCGACAGCTTTTCGATTTTGAGTTGCCAGACGACATCAGACTGTTTGCAGGATTCGTATTTATGCGATCTACGCCACATCGGCATAAATTCTCTAAATGGTATGTCACGTTAAAAGAATATCCGTATAATTTATGGCCACCATATGTCACAGCTGGTGCATACATCCTGTCTAAGGAAGCTCTCTTGGACTTGTACTACACCAGTTTCTACACTAAGCACTTTCGATTCGACGATATCTTTATAGGTTTAGTAGCTAAAAAAGCTGATATAGTACCATTTCATTGCGAGGAATTTCACTTTTATAAGAAAGCTTATACGAAATATAGTTACAAATATGTCATAACGTCTCATGGATACGAAGATCCAAACGAACTCCTACAAGTATGGAACGAACAAAAGGCTCTTGGAAATGCTTAAATCTATTTAAACAATGCAAAACAATTTCGTAATATATACTATTCTACAGATTTAGATATAGTCTCCATTTAACAATGGAGAACAAAGTATCGCAATAGCATATCTTGGCAGAAATATCTTTAAATTATAGTATAACTGAGAATGTGTGCATATATATATATATATATATATATATATATATATATGCAGAAGGAAAACGGAATATTCAATATGTAAAATAATAATTATATGAAAACGGACGATTTATTGTAAAAAATATTCTGCAATTGTCTAGAATAGATTCCATCCTATATCAGTCCTCAATATCTTCTAATAAAGTCAAATTTTTAAAAGTAATTATTCAAACGCATTTAAATGAAAGA